TTTAGCTTCAAACTACAAATGAAATTATGTAATAATTATTTCCACATAACAAGAATTATTATTTACAATCACCGTAACAAATATGCATATTAATGCTAAGTGATTTTTCCCTATAGATTGTTAACCATGCACTGAGTTTACAGCATAATAATCAGTATAACACTCTGTATGTATATGCTGTAAACAGGATAAAAGTTATATATGCCCATTACAAACGTACATTTTTCAGGTTCTGTCATGACTCTTTAGTGTAGAATAAATCACAATATCAGTTCCACAAAACAGCGAGGACATGGTAGCATATCCACTTGCTCCTCACGAGGAATCTGGGCGTGAAAATTAAATACTCTCCACCAGACACACATAATTTCTGATTCGCGTACATCAAGAATTCCTCCACGAATATACACCAGCTCCTCTTTTCCTGTACAAAAAATTGGCGTGCTGTGTACAAATTTGATGTCTTGGGCAAAATGGGATTTGGGCTGGGCGCTGGTAAATGAACCGTTTGTCCCTCAAGTAGCAATAGCAAATCATGCCATGGAATCACTTTCTCTAACCAACGGAAGTAATTCAGAAAAATAACCACCCAAGCAAAGCTGGTAGTAGCAGGGTTGGTGAACGTGCGATAGATAGAATTCAGCGGATTTAGTAAGAAAGTTTTTCCACAAGTAGCTGGACCCCTTAATCAAAATGTTCCTGTATTCTCCCCGTCCTTTAGTTAGCAAAGATACTACTGCTTCACGAAACTCTGTTTCTGGAATATCATTACGCGACAGAACATTGTGTGCTATATAAAGCCATTGCTTATCACATCCTGCTACGCATTCTTTCCCCAGACATCCTTCAAGAATTTCCATACAAGTTTTTGTCGCTCTTTCTAAGTCACTTGGAGCCTCCTTTATTTCCCATCCAACTTTCAAGGCATTGTCTACTGCTTTATATCCACAATTTGCGATAAACTCAGCTAAATCCGTCTTACCCAATGTTTGTTGGAAATTTGCAAGTGCGAGTGGTTCTACCCTTGTTCCGATACAGCGATTTGCGACACGTCGTAGACCGATAGATGAGCCCTTCCTCTGCGTTTTGGGCTTGTTTTCTTCTTTTTGCTGCTTTCTAAAGTGAGCTTAACTTGCTTGTTGTGTTCGAGGTCATCGTTGCAGCTCAGGATGTCTATCCGATTGCAAGTATTCCGGATCTTCTTTTGTAGCATATTTTAATACGCAGAGTAATAATTGGCATGATTGCTTGAAAAATTTATTTTTACGCCATAATATTTTTTATCTACATAATCACACACTTTCAACCATCGTCAATTGCGCTCTAGCTTGATTGCCATATGGTAATGAGTTCCGCCATCTTTATGAGTTTCTTCACTACATACCCACTGCAATACCTTATTGGAAACTTTTGCATCCGCATTGATGAATTCATCCAGAATTATAGAGGCAAAGGAACTGTACAAGTCAATTATCTCGGGTACTTCCCTGCTGTAAGTGATTAGGTAAATACTTCTCGCCTGCCGTCTGTTTAACGAAGATCTTGTATTTTTGGCAACCAAAGTATCGTTTTTGAAACTCATTTTAACTTTAGAGTATGCTGTGCTAAAGATCGATAGTGTCTTATTGTGTAACTATTATGTTTTTAAAGACGGAAGTAAAAGCAATCTGTCTAAAAATAACAGTTACATTAAGTGCTGCTAATTGCTACATATTATGTAATAACATAAGATGTTTGTGCCTAAAATGAACATAATGATTAATATGTTTTTAATATGAGTTTAAAACCTGAAATTCGCGATCGAAAGGCTAATCATGCATCTATATGTGAAAGCCCTTAATGGTGTCCACCGCTTTCATCAAGTGGCATTATCTTCTTATATCATAGTATATACAACCTGCAACAAAAATAGTTGTGACATTGCCAATATGTAACTTATAAGTGCTGTCCCCTCCCCCCCTCAGCTCAATGTTGGTAAGGTGGGATTTGTTAGATTGGAAAGCAGTATCAACAGATCACAACATTGAAGAGGGGTAGCAGGGGAAAGCCGTATGTATCACAACCTTTTTGACGTGGATTGTAGGTTTCATATTTCTATGAGTTAAACTCAGTTTACTCTATCAAAGTTTCTGTATGTGACTACAATACAAATTTGCCTAGGCAAATTCTAACTTTTGAAAGATTTGTAGTGAAAATGTTTAACTATGATCGAATTCCCAAAAACCTTTCTAACAAATCTTTCAAAACTTGATAGAATTACATGTGCATTGATCACAGTATCCTAAGGATTTCATGCAAGCAGGCCTAGGTGACAAGTGCGCGCCCAAAACTGGACTTTTATTCAAGCATACACTGAACTTGCTGGTCATCCAGGATTACAAGTTGAGTAAGCTTTAATAAAGTCATTCAAGTGTATGCAGAGTCAGTTACTGGACTAAACATCAACACATTTCTCAAGTGCGCACTTGCTTACTCAGCATTTTCTGGGATATAAACAGAATATTTTACTCGCCACTGTTCAAGCTCTATACAAAGTCTGAAAATTACAGCTGCCTGTGGCCATGATTGATTTCTGAGACTTCCAAACTCAATATGTAACTGAATTGATACATTTGTGTTCCATTCATCCCATTATATATAACTGGACTGTCCCTCACTTTGAGTATAGCCTAGTTTTCGTTTAAGTGCCACCATTACTGGATTTTACTCTTGTTGGTGTATAACATGCCTGAAACAATGACAACACTTGTCTGCATGGATAATTTTTTATTTGCCAAATGTATGCGGTTAAACCCAGTTCACTCTGTTAAAGTGTCTGTGTGTGTTGAAAGTGTTTAAAACTCTGATTCAATTCCCGAAAACATTTCTTACAAATCTTTCAAAACTGTATAGAAATTACCTATGCATTGGTGCATAAAAGCAAGTATTGGGTGCACAAAGTTTTGTGAAATAAAATTCTTTTGTGTGCATGTGACATGGTTTCCAGACTTGGAATTCGTTTAAGCATACACCGAGTTTCCTGGTCCTCCAGGATTAGAAGTTGTGTAGGCTTAAATAAAGTCATTCAAGTGTATACAAAGTTACTGGGATGTAAACAAATTTAATTTTACTCACCATTTTTCAAGATTTATACATATTCCGAAGATTTAAAGTTAACAACTGTCAGCTGCCTGCAGCAGCCATGTTTCATTTCTTACCCTGCGGGCAGGAGAGCCTTTTTGTAGGCTATTAATTTCTGAGACTTCTGAACTCAATATATAACTGAATTGATACATTTATGCATCCCATTGATCTCATTATATATAACTGGACTGTCCATCATATGGGGTGACAACCTCTCTTGCCCAAGAACATGGCTGACTGGAAAAATCCCTTACACTGAAATTAATGAGAAGTAAGACCTCTGTAATATGACCCTCTGTTAGTAAATCCAAAATGGTGGTCACATTTTTAGGTCAGAGTCCACACAGAAATTTGGAT